CCTCCGAGCAGGCTGGGCAAGGCCGGGGTCCCCGGGCCCGGGGCGTCCTCCCTCGCATCGCGGTCCATCCTCGGCTCCGGGCGAGTCCAGCGCAGCCGCCCGAGGCACTTACACAGCGAGCCCGCTCGGCCGGCGCGGGCGCAGCGTCCCGGAAGGCTTCCTGGAGGCGGCGTCCTCAGCGAGCCGCGTCCTCAGAGGCGGCTGCGGACGCGGGCCCGGCGGCGGCCGGGGTCCGAGGGCCCGAGGCGCCCTCTTGTGCGGTAACAATAGCGGCCCCGCTCACCGGCGGCCGCCGCCCCGGCCGGCCTCGCTCCACCCTTACCGTCTCCGAGACCGGGTCCATGGTGTCCAGGGACATGGCGGCGGCGCTGGCCGGCTCTCCTCAGGGCTCCGCGGCCGCCGGCTCACCGAGCAGGCCGCGCGGCCCGCGACCGCGCTGCCATGGCAACGCGCCGCCGACCCGCGGGGCCCCGGATGGGACCTGCGCGGTTGCCGGGGCGGCCGTGCGCCTGCGCAGAGTGCGGGGGGGTCTGTGCGCCTGCGCGGGGTTGGCGCTCGGCGTCGGCCCGCGATCCCGCTGCCATGGCAACGCGCCGCCGACCCGCGGGGCCCCGGATGAGACCTGCGCGCCTGCCGGGGCGGCCGTGCGCCTGCGCGGAGAGGGCGCGCCTGGACGGCGCGGCCCCTCTTCGCCCGCCTCGGGGCTGGGTCGGCGGAAACTCGGCAGTGCGCCAAAAAATCCGCGGGAAATGGGGCCCAAAGCTTATATTTTGTGCAGTTAAAAAAATATGTGCACAGCTCTTTCGTAACACCGTTGTCCCTGTTAGGAAAAAGAAAAATAAAGTCCTGCTTGTAATCCCGTCCCGTAGGCGCGGGGTCTGCCCCAACACAAGCCCCCTGCCCACGCAGGGCAGCCAATCGGGTGGCTGGAATTCCAACAGCGCGGCCCCGCCCACAACTTGAACCCGCCCCTTCCGCCTGTAGTCCCGCCCCTTCCGCAGGGAGCCCCGCCTCCGAGGCGCTCCGCCCGCCGGACGCTCGACACGTACCACGGAGCGCCCCGGTGGGGGTGACATTTCGGAGAGACCGCCTTGACGCAGACCTGTACCCAGCCCCTCTAAGCTCGAGATGAAGCCCACCCACAATTCTTTTTGCCATTATAAGCTCCCCAGTGGGTCTCCGTGGAGTCGCGGGTCCCCACGCCCGCCAGTTTCGGTCTCTTCTCCCCTCCGGGCCAGCCAGGTGGTAAAGTCCGGGGCGGGGCCTCCGGAGAGGGTGGATCCGGCGGCGGGGCGGGGCTTTCGGCGGACCGACGGGACGCGCGCGGGTGAGGCGTGCGCTTCGCGCGGGGGACCCGGCCGGGCCGGGGTCAGGGGTCGGGGGGCGGGCAGGGGAGCGCGGCCCGCGCCGCCTCCGGGCTCCCCGAAAGTCGCCGCCCCGGGGGCCGACGGACCCGCGCCCCGGCCGGTCGCACAGACCCGCGCCCACTCCCGGGGGGACCCAGCCCCAGCATCAGGCCCTGGATCCCTGGGGTCGCCTCCCTCCCAGGCCGGGCTGCAGCCTGAGATGACCGCGCCGGGCCTGGCGGGGCAGTGCGGCCACACCTCGCCTTTGCAGGAGCCCCCAGCCTCGCCATGGACCCCGAGTGCGCCCTGCTCCTGCCCGGCCTCTGTGCGGTCCTGGCGGACCCCGGGCAGCCGGTGGCCGACGACACCTGTCTGGAGAAGCTGCTGGACTGGTTTCAGACGGTGACCGAGACGGGTGAGGGCTCCGCGCCGCTGGTCTCGTCGGGAGCCCAGAGTGCGCGGGCTTCCTGGAGGAGGCAGGGCAGGGCCCCCGGGAGGGGTGGGCTCGGAGCTCCGCCCTGACCGCAGCCTCCACTCCGGCCGTGCGGAGAGCATGGCCACGCTTTTCATTTATTTGAGTGACAGGGGGAGAGAGGGATGTCTTCCATCCTCCGGTTCACTCCTCCGACGGTGCCTCAGCCAGGGCCGGGCCAGGCTGAAGCCAGGAGCTCCATCTGGGGCTCCCCGGGGCGGCAGGGACCTGAGTCCCTGGGCCATCGTCCGCTGCCTCCCAGGCGGTCAGCAGGGAGCTGGCTAGGACGCGGGGCCGCTGAGACTCGGCCCAGCCCTCCGTCGTGCGACGCTGGGCGGTGGGCATGCTGGCCCACAGGCGGCCCGCCCAGGCCTCGTTCTGTCACTGCATTGTAGATCTAAGACATCAGACCTGGGAGCGGTGCCCGGCCTAAGGCGCCCATCCTCTCCTGGGGTGCCGCGTGCCCTTTCGGGGTGCCTGGGTTGAGACCCGTCGGCGCCGCTTCTGATCCAGGTGCCTCCCGGGAGGCAGCAGGTGTCGGCTCGAGTCCTTGGGACCCTGCCGCCCCCAGCCGCGCGAGAGGCCCGGGTGAGTTCCTGGCTTTGGCCTGGCCCAGCCCTGACCGTCGCAGGCATTTGCCGAGTGAACCAGTGCATGGAAGATCTCTGTCTCTCTGATTTTCAAATGAAAAGTAATAAAAATTATTTTAAAAGTCAGGTTTGATTATTATCCATATTTGCGCCAAGAGCAAACCGAAAAAACAGAGTCAGATTTGTTTGCCTGGTGATGGTGATGGTGGCGGTGGCCGGTGCTGCAGGGAGCTCACCAGGGGCGGGGTGGGGCGGGGCGGCTGCCTCCCGTCCTGAGGCCGTGGCTCCTTAAGCAAGAGCCCGTCCTCGCCTTGAGCACTGTCCGGTGGAGTGCGCAGGTGTTGAGCAGCTCTGTGCTCTGTGCGAGGGAACGGCCGTCGCGGGAGGGGTGCGAGTGCTCGGCCTGTCTGCTCCGTGTCTCCCACCTCCTCTGGGCCCTCTGCCCCTGTTCACCCTGCTTTTCAGTTGAGTACCTAGACTCGTTTTCTTAGAACACGCGTATTTAACGTGGTCCATCTCTTTGTGAGATTTTTCTCATTCAGGCCGGCACTGTGGACAGCGGGTGCAGCCTCCAGCTGCCCTGCCGGCATCCCACGTGGGCGCCGGGTCGCGTCCCGGCTGCTCCACTTCCAGCCCAGCTGCCTGCTGGTGGCCTGGGAGAGCAGCAGAAGGTGCCCCCAAGTGCTCGGGCCCCTGCACCCGCGTGGGAGACCCGGAGGAAGCTCCTGGCCTCAGCCTGGCCCAGTGCTGGCCGTCACAGCCGTCTGGGAGTGAACCAGCGGATGGGAGGTCTCCCTTTCTATCTCGGGGTCTCTCTCTAACTCTGTAAAAATAAATAGATTTGCAGAGCATTTTTAAAAATTATTCTCATTTTATTTGAAAGACATCTTCCCCCCGCTGGTTCACTCCTCAGATGTCCACCGTAACCAGGTCTGGGCCAGGACGCCGTCCGTGGCTCCCCCGGGGGCGGCAGGGCCGAGTACCCCAGCCGGCACTGCCGCCTCCCAGGTGCACTTCGGCGGGAAGCTGGATGAGAGGCGGAGGGGCTGGGGCTGGATGCTGTGGAGGCAGGCACCTGCTGGTGTCCGCCCCTCGGCACCCAGTGCCTGCCGCAGAAGCCCCGCCCCTCCCCGCGCCCTGGAGTGCCCTGGGCAAAGCTCCAGGTCCACCACGCTTGCCGTTGGGATTGGCTTCCTGCAGTGTCAGGCTACTGCTTTGAGAGGACCCCTTAGTTTTAGAATGTGGGCCCCGCCTCCGAGGCGCTCCGCCCGCCGGACGCTCGGCGCGTACCACGGGCTTTCCCGTGTTTTATGTTGAGTGGAGACTCACGGTGGAGTTGGCCCATCTCACTGCCTCGCACTGGGGTCCTGGAGTCTAACTGTCCAGCGGAGGCCTGATTCTTGGCTACAGTTTTAAAGCTGCGTTTACAGTGTTTGAGAGGTGGACGCTCCCCTCTGCCGGTTCACTCCCCAGAGGCCTGTGAGCAGAGGCAGGGCTGCCTGCCAGCTCTCCCGTGGGGGAGGCAGGGCCCCAACCCCTTGAGCCTCCCAGGGTGCCCGTTAGCAGGGAGCTGGCGTCGAGAGTGGAGCCGGGGCTGGAGCCCGATACGGGATGCAGAGTTAGAGACAGGGAGAGACAGATTTTTCATCCACTGGTTCACTCCCCAGATGGCTGCGATAGGTGTAGCTGTGCCAGGCCAAAGCCAGGAGCCAGGAGCTTCTTCTGAGTCTCCCACGCAGGTGCAGGGGCCCAAGCACTTGGGCCATCTTCCGCTGCTTTCCCAGGCCACAGCAGAGAGCTGGATCGGACGTGGAGCAGCCGGGACTCGAGCCGGCGCCCATGTGGGACGCCGGCACGGCAGGCGGCAGCCTTGCCCAGGAGGCCACAGCGCCGGCCCCTGCTTTGTTTCCGGAGGTCCTCTGAGGTCAGCGCTTACTCGCCTCTCTCCTGCGCTGGGCTGCCTCCGGGGCCTTTCTGGCTCCTCCCCTGGCCTTCAGTGGTGGGGCTGCCTTGAAGCTGAGGAAGTCTGTGTCCTGAGTAAGGATGCTGTATGGCACTTAAGACGTGAACTAGATCTTCAGGAAGAAGTGAAAGTTAGCTGAGAGGCGGAGGGAGCTGCCATCGGCTGACGTGCCCCCAGACGCCCTCCGCAGCCGGGGCTGGGCCAGGTGTCGTGTGGGCGGTGGGGCCGTGACTTGAGCCGTCACCACTGCCTGCAGGGTGTGCGTTAGCAGGAGGCTGGGCGTCTGGTGCACGCAGGCGTCTGAGCGCCAGGCCACACATCTGCCCTGCAAGCTGCGGGATCAGGACTCGGAATCGGGGCTGGGACTGCGGCTGGGGCTTAGCGGGTAAAGCTGCTGCCTGCGGTGCTGGCATCCCATCTGGGCGCCGGTTCGAGTCCTGGCTGCTCCGCTTCCGATCCAGCTCTCTGCTGTGGCCTGGGAAAGCAGTGGAAGGTGGCCCTTGTCCTTGGGCCCCTGCACCTGCATGGGAGACCCAGAGGAAGCTCCTGGCTCCTGGCTTTTGATTGGTGTAGCTCTGACTGTTGTGGTCAGTTGGGGAGTGAACCAGCAGATGGAAGACACCTCTCTCTATCTCTGCCCCTGTCTCTCTCTAACTCTGCCTTTCAAATAAATAAATAAATATTTTAAAACAAAAAGATGAAAAAAATTAAAAATAAATTTGAAGAGCCTTGGAGTCTCACCCTGCCGGAGGCACGGTGCGCTGCCCACGCTGACCGCGGTGCGGTGCCCCACTGACGGCCTCTGGTCTCCGGGTCTGCCTGTCCCTGCAGGGTCCAGCCTGCGGCTGCTGCAGCATAACCCCTGCCTGGTGGAGCTGCTGTCCCACGTGTTGGGCACCCAGGACGCCCCTGCCGGGCTCCTCTCCTTTGCCCTCCGCCTCGCGGGGATATTTGGTGCTCAGGAGAGCGGCTTCCAGTACCTCCAGGTGAGCCCCCAACCCTGCCCCAGTACTTCCAGGTGAGCCCCCCAACCCTGCCCCACCCCAGTACCTCCAGGTGAGCCCCCCAACCCTGCCCCACCCCAGTACCTCCAGGTGAGCCCCCCAACCCTGCCCCGCCCCAGTACCTCCAGGTGAGCCCCCCAACCCCGCCCCGCCCCAGTACCTCCAGGTGAGCCCCCCAACCCTGCCCCACCCCAGTACCTCCAGGTGAGCCCCCCAACCCTGCCCCACCCCAGTACCTCCAGGTGAGCCCCCCGCCCCGCCCCAGTACCTCCAGGTGAGCCCCCCAACCCCACCCCGCCCCAGTACCTCCAGGTGAGCCCCCCAACCCCGCCCCAGTACCTCCAGGTGAGCCCCCCAAGCCTGCCCACCCCAGTACCTCCAGGTGAGCCCCCCAACCCTGCCCCAGTACCTCCAGGTGAGCCCCCCAACCCTGCCCTGCCCCAGTACCTCCAGGTGAGCCCCCCAACCCTGCCCCGCCCCAGTACCTCCAGGTGAGCCCCCCAACCCTGCCCCGCCCCAGTACCTCCAGGTGAGCCCCCAACCCTGCCCCAGTACCTCCAGGTGAGCCCCCCAACCCTGCCCCAGTACCTCCAGGTGATCCCCCCAACCCTGCCCCAGTACCTCCAGGTGAGCCCCTTGCCCCGCCCCAGTACCTCCAGGTGAGCCCCCCAACCCCGTCCTGCCCCTTGCCCCCGTGTGGCCGCGTTGTCCTCCTGCCGTTGGAGCGCTGTGCTGTGGTCCATGCCGGGTCTCCGCCGCCTGCCTTTGAGAGATGCACAGGGTGGTGCTGCGGCTCGGAGGGAGGCCTCGTGGAGTAAGAACCAGGGTGTCTCTCTGTGCCGGGCCGCTCTGTGCCCTCGCCGGAGTCCCCAGGCCCCCTTTGTTCCTGCGCTCAGCCGAGATGCCCCGGAGCCTGTGTCCTGCAGCTGGGAGAACTGCTGGAGGCCCCCGCGTGGGCACAGCGGGTGGGCTGGGTGACGCGGGCCCGAGCCTCCCCAGCCACACACAGCCGCCCTCCCACCAGCACCAGCCCCAGGCCGTGGGGTGCTGGGGTGCAGGCCCCTGGAGGGAGGGCGGTAGCGGGGACACGGCCCCCCACTCGGCAGTGGCAGACTCTAGGAGTCTAGCTGAGAGGCTTTCCAGAATGTTCTAGGGCACTTCTGCCACAGCGTGGATCAGCCCACGCGTCTGGTAGCGTTTAGACGGTTGTCTCTGCCCAGCAGCCCTGCCCACGGCGGCTCGGCGGTCTCCCCGTGCGGGTCGGGGTCGGGGCGGACCTGGGGAGGAGGGGACGGGAGCGACGCCGTTCTCTGAAGTCCAGGTCTTTTTCCCCATAAGCCCCCTACCACCCACAAGCCCAGCTGCAGGGTTTCCTGCTGGGAATGAACCCCCAGAGAGCCCCCCACCAGGAGACCCCACGCTGTGCCGCGGCCTGTGTCCCCAGAGACGTCCCTGAGGCAGACCCCTTCTCTGCTCCCCAGCAGGGGGAGTTGCTCTCCGGGCTCTTCGGGGAGGCCGGGCCCCTCGGCCGAGCCGCCTGGACCGTCCCCAGCGTGCGCAGCGGCTGGGTCCAGGGCCTGCGCTCCCTGGCGCAGCACCCTAGCGCCCTGCACTTCCTGGCCGACCATGGTGAGTGCCACGGCCCCCATGCACCTGTGCCTGCGAGCGGTGGCGGTGACGGCACAGGTCCCTGCGGGGGAATGCGTGTGGCCTCGTGGCTGTGTCACAGGAGCTGGGTGACTCCGCAGGTCACAGGCGGCGGTCGGGAGCGCCTGGCACTCTGGGGGGAATCGGGCTCCGAGCACGGGGTGGTTTGGTGGTGGGGGCTCTGCTGTCCTGGGGCGGAAGCTGGCCTCGCCCCCACCCCTGCTGACCCTCGCCCCCGCCCTGTCCCCTCCCCAGGTGTGCTGGACACCGTCTTCTCCCTGCAGCGAGACCCCAGCCTGTTTGTGGCCTCGGCCGCCAGTCAGCTCCTGGCACACGTGCTGGCCTTGTCCATGCAGGGCGCAGCCGGGAGTCCCCCTGCCCCCCAGGATGGGGCCTGGCCCACGTGCGCCCGGAGGATCGTGGGCCACGTGGAGGAGTCCCTGTGTTCCACGGCCGCCCCACAGGTCACTCAGGCCCTGAACGTCCTGACCTCCACGCTGGGGCGCTGTCACGGCCACTGGACCAAGGCCCTGTGGGCGCAGCTGAGCCCCCTCGTGGCCCGTCTGCTGGAGAGAGAGCCCGTGCCGGCTGCCCACTCGCTCGTGGATCTCCTGCTCAGCGTGGCCCGGTCAGGTCCCCGGGGCTCGGCCGTCCGTGGGGGCTGGGGTGGGCGGCTGGTGCACCCGGGTGTGTCTCACCGGCAGCCGGCATGGGGGAGTGGGGGGCCACGGGGGCCGGGCACTCATTCCTCCCCTCTGGTCCCCTGCAGTTCCCCGGTGTTCAGTTCGGCGGACAGCGGCCCGTGGGACATGGCGGCTCGGACACTGAGCCGCCTGGGCCCCCTGCAAGCCGGGCCTCTGGCCCTGGGGCTCCTGAAACTGCAGCACTGGTAGGCGGGGCAGGCGGGGGCTGGGGGTGCGGCCCCTGTGGGCGGGGAGGAGGCCAGGCTGAGGGGCCGCGGCTGGTGTCCAGGGGCGCAGAGGCCGCACGGGCCCCGTGCGGGCGGCGGCATGCGCACCTTGTCGGGGGCAGGATTGTTGACACAGCAGCTGTGCCCGGCCAGAGCTGAAGGGGGCGCTGCTCCCCAGCACTGGGCTTGTACCCGGGGCCATGAGCTGCAGGGTGCGGGGGGAAGGACCAGTGCCCGTGCTCCCCCAGCCCCAGGCCCAGGCTCCAGGGGTGGGTCCGTGTCCTGAGCGTGAGGCCCCCAGGACGCCCTGCAGGCCTGCGCAGGCTGCTGTTCCCCGTGCCGCGTCCATGTCCTGTGCAGCCCCATGGCTGGCAGAGAAACCGCTTCTTGGGGTGTCCAGGCCCCAGCTCCCCAAGACATGCTGGGGCTCCTAGGGCTGTGGCCACCGCCCGTGGCTTGGAGGAAGGTGCTCACCCCACATCCTCTGTCCCCAGCCCACAGACCCTGAGGACCCAGGCCTTCGGGGTCCTCCTCCAGCCCCTGGCCTGTGTCCTGAAAGCCAGCGCGCAGGCCCCGGAAGCCGCAGGTATGCAGGGCGGGGGGCATCCTCCCTGGGCCCTGACCCTGGGGAGCAGGTGCCCACCCCAAGGGGACGTTTGCCTTGGCCTCCAGGCCTGCTGGACGGAGCCCCAGGCAGCTCCGTGCCGGTGGACTCGCTGCTGTCCTCCAAGTCGGCCTGTGTGGGGCTCCTGTGCCAGACCCTGGCCCTCCTGGAGGAGCTGCAGCCGCTGGTAGGTGTGGCCCAGGCCCTGTGCTGCCCACTGCGCAGACGCCGATGGGGCCTGCAGCCTCCGTGACGCCCCCTCTTCCCTCCCGCAGCCGCAGCGCCCCTCGCCCTGGCCCCAGGAGGCCCTGCTGGGAGCGGCGGTGACCATGCTGCGGCTCTGCGGAGGTGGTGCTGCCCCGGCCTCCAGCCTGGGAGGCCGCCTCTGCCGGACCCTGGCAGGCTGCGTGCGTGTCCAGCGCGCTGCCCTCGACTTCCTGGGGACGCTGTCGCAGGGGGCGGGTGAGTCCCTAGCCCCTGCTCCGCTCTGCCCAGGGTCCTCTGGGAGCCGGGTCTTGCCGTGTCCCCAGGCGTGGGTTCACACCTGCCCCATGGTCCCGTCTGTCCAGGCCCCCAGGAGTCCGTGACGCAGGTGTTTGCTGCCCTCCTGGAGTGCCTGGAGAGCCCCGACTCCAGCCCCACGGTACGGGGGGGGGGGTGCGTGGGGAGGGGCGGGGCGGTGACCACTGCCCGCCGCCCGCCGGCCTGTGGGAAGGGGGCTTCCCCAGGGGTCCATGGAGTCACTGCTTTGTGGGACCGTCCAGGCTGGTGGCTGCTAGGGATTCGGGCCCAGGGCCAGGGCTGGTGAGGCCGGAGTGGGAGGGGCGTGGCCCCGCCTGCCCTGTGGGAGCAGCCCGTCGTTTATCGCAGACTTGGAGGTCAGGTTTGAGATTCCAGTTGGCTCTGCTCCGAGAGGTGGGGCCCAGTGTTCCGTCCCCCTCCCACTCGGGCGGGAGTGTGGCTCCGCCCTCCCACAGCCTCCCCTCGGCCCCGCCCCTGCCCCAGGTCCTGAAGAAGGCCTTCCAGGCCACGCTCAGGTGGCTCCCGGGCCCGCCCCAGCCCCCCAGCTGCTGCGCTCTCAGCCCCCACACCCTGCTGTTCCTCCAAGGTCAGTGAGTCCCTGGTTCCGGGGGTGGCCGAGTCCAGCTGGGGCGGGAGGGAGGGCGGAGCCCCCCTGACTGCCGCTTCCGGCCCAGAGCTGCTCCCTGTGCTGCAGAAGCGTCTATGCAGCCCCTGCTGGGAGGTGCGGGACTCGGCCCTGGAGTTCCTGACCCAGCTGAGCAGGTGCTGGGCAGGTGAGTGGGGGCGGGCTGCCCGGGGCTGGGCCGGAGGCTGCCCCTCCTGCACCTGACCGGGCCCATCCGACCCCAGAGCAGGCTGACTTCAGACGTGCGCTCCTGGCCTCGGAGGTGCCCCGGCTCGCCCGGCAGCTCCTCCAAGACCCCGAGAGCTACGTCCGAGCCAGCGCGGTGACCGCCGTGGGACAGCTGTCCGGCTGGGGCCTGCAGCCTGCCTCCACCAGCCCGCAGCACCCAGGGGCCCAGCAGGTGGGACATGCTGGGTCCTCGCCCTGCAGCCCAGCAGGGAGGGGTGGGTTGGCCCGTGGTGGCTGTTCCTCTCGCGCCCCCAGCTGGTGGGCACAGTTACGCCATCTGACTCGTGCCCCAGGGCGAGTTGTTGGGAGGTGCGGCCAGGCGCGCGGCACCGGAGCCCGGCCTCACGTGCCGTCTGTCACCAGGGCCTGCTGGGCGAGCTCCTGCACATCCTGACCACGGACTCGGAGGGCTTCCCGCGGCGGGCCGTCACGCAGGTCCTCACCGAGTGGCTGAGGGCTGGCCATGCCGACGTGGCTCAGGACACGGAGCAGTTCGTGGCCACAGTGCTCCAGGTGGTGAGCCGGGACCTGGACTGGGAGGTCCGGGCTCAGGGTCTGGAGCTGGCACGGGTGTTCCTGGTGCAGACGCTGGGGCAGCCCGGCGCCGGCTGTCCCTATGCCGTGGGCCTGCCCGTGGCCTCGTCCCCCAGCGCGCTCCCCGCGGCCCTGCACGCGCTGGGCCGGGTGCGGCTCCTGGACTTCGCGCTCTGTGCCTTGCTTGACTGTGACCGGCCCGTGGCCCAGAAGGCCTGTGACCTGCTGCTGTCCCTGAGGGCCGAGCTTGCCCGCCGCGGGGGCCTGCAGGAGGCCGGGGGCAGCCCCGACCCAGCAGCCGTGGAGGCTGCCCTGCGGGGCTGGCGGACTGGCGAGCAGGGCCAGCCACTGGGGGAGCTGGCGCCCGCGGCCGTGCTGGCCGTCCTGGACGCCGTGGACCTGGAGGGCTTTCGGGGCAGGCTGGCCGAGAGCAGTGACCGCGTAGAGCGCAGTCCCCAGTCCCTCCTGCAGGACATGCTGGCCGCCGCGGGCGTGCGGGAGAACCAGGCCGACTGCTACTGACCACCGCCCGCTGCTGAGCTGGGCCTTGCAGGGGCAGGCCTGAGACCGCCGCCTTCTGATGTCACCGACCACGTGCCTGAGGGCCCTGGCTGCTGCCCCCTGCTCGCTGTGTGTTTACGCCGGTGCCGTGGCATCCACGGCGGGCCCTTGGGTGCTCCAGCTTCAGACTTGATTTGGCGCATCAAAATCTCCCGTGGCTCTGCCACGTCTTAGGATTCTCTCCCGTGTTTGTGAACGTCCCATCAGAGTTTCAGCAGGGGCTGCGTTAAACCTGTGGGTCACTTCGAGTGTTCTCTTTTTTAAGACTTATTGATTTGGAAGGCAGAGAGGGAGAGAGAGGTCTTCCATCCCCTGGTTCCCTTCCCAAATCACTGCAACGGCTGGGATGGACAGGGCCTAAGGCTGAAGCCAGGAGCCAGGAGCTCCATCCATGTCTCCCAGGTGGGCGCAGGGGCCCAAGCACCTGGACCATCTTCTCCTGCTTTCCCAGGCCATTAGCAGGGAGCTGGATCAGAAAAGGAGCAGCCGGGACTCGAACCGGCGCCCATATGGGTCGCTGATGCTGCAGGCTGAGGCTTAGGCCCACTACACCGCGGTGCCGGCCCCTGCATGAGTATCCTACAGTTTGCAGTGCACAGCCCCTACCTCCAGTTGGATTATTCCTAAGTGCTTTATTTTTAATGCTGTTGTAAAGACATTGTCTTCATGGTTCACCTTTCTGGGGATAGTTTGTAGTTAGCATAGGGAGACAGAGCTGATGCCTGGGCGTTGGTTTCACATCCGGCAGCTTCGCTGAACCTGGTATCTTAGCGAGTTGCTGGAGGTGTTGGGTTTTCTGTGTCTATGATCATGTCATCTGCAAATAGAGTTTATTTCTCCTTTCCCGTTTGGAAGGCTTTTGTTTACATTCCTGCTTGGCTGTGGTCCTGTGTCGGACAGAAGCAGTCTGGGGGACGGGCTCCCGGCTTCTGGCCGTGGGATAGGACGTGAGCTTCACCTCTGTGCCTGGCGTGCGGAGTGAGCCGCTGTGCCGGGTGGCGGCTACCCAGCGGCTCTCTCTACCCGAGTGCGGCTCACAGCGGCCCAGGGACGGGCTGGCAGGCAGTGCAGCCCCCATGCGCCCCCGGGTGAGCCCCGCCTTCTCGGGCGTGATCTCTCCACGTGCCCGTGCTCACGGCTTTCCTCTCTAGCGGTCTCCCCTGGCTTCGAACGAGGGCTTGGAGCTGGAAACCCAGAGGAGAGAGGCGGGAGCGCTTGGCGTCATTGCTGGCGATGGCTGTTGGGTTGGACACCAAAATCAGGCGGCAGATGGAAGCAGCAGCCTGGGCCTGCGTCAAACCCGACAGCTTCCACGGCCGTGGAGCACCAGACGTATTTGCAGACTGGGAGTCTGGTTGAGTGTATGTAACGCGTGCTTACGGAACTCGCCCAGCCTGCTGGCAGAAACCCCAGGGAAGACGCGCCGATCACCGGGAGACACCGCTCCACGTCGGCGCCGCGGTGTGGGGCCTGTAGCACCAGCATCCCATCCGGGTGCCAGCTCACGTGCCGGCTGCTCCGCCGCCCACCCAGCGCCCTGCCCATGCCCCTGGGAAGGCAGCAGGGGAGGGCCCACGTACTTGGCGCCCTGCCAGCCACATGGGCGCCTGGGGTGGAGCTCCTGGCTCCTGGCTGTGGCCTGGCCCAGCCCCAGCTGTTGCAGCCATTCTGGACGTGATCCAGTAGATAGAAGAGCTCGCCCACTCTGCCTTCCAGAGATGTCAGTCTTACTAAAAACACAGACGCACGCGCACACACACAGACACGCACACACAGTGAGCTGTCGCCTCCACCTGTTAGGGGGCTGGTCTCGGGCAGCTAACCGGTGGTGAGGGGCTGAGAACAGGAGCCCTGCCCACCGCTGATGGCACACGCGTGGCGTGCGGAGCTTCCTCGCAGTTACAAGTAGACGTGGCCTGGGGGTCACGAGCTGGTGCTCACCCCCTCGAGGGGACCAGGTCAGGACACCGAAGGCCCTGCACGCCCGTGTTCCCGCAGCAGCCGGGGAGACGGGAGGTGGGGGCTGTGTCGAGGGGTGTGTGTGCGTCTCTGCAGTATGTGCATCTGTGTGCAGACTGTCTCTGTCTATGCAGTATGTGGTGTCTTGTGCAGTGTGTGTGTGTGGCCTTGAAGAAGGCGGTCCTACCGTCTGACAGCGTAGGTGAGCCTGGCAGACTGGCACTGCGCTGAGCCGTCTCCCCCGTGGACCTTCCTGGTGGAAGCAGAGGGTACTATGGCTGGGGTGGGGGGATTGGGAGGGCATTGGGTGAGGACAGACCATGCAGGTGGACCCGTCCCAGGGGTGTGCCACGTTGGGTGATGGGTGTGGCACTTGACCAAGGCCAAGCCGTGTTCGGAGACCTCAGGCCCGAAGGGCTCAGGGACGTGGCCAGGGAGGTGCCCCTCTTGGGCTGCAGCTCACGTGCTCAGTGGGCAGCGGTGGGCCTCTGTAGAGTCCAGGGCCACAGGCTGGGCTGTGTGAGTGGACAGGTGGGTGAAAGGTGCCCAGGGAGCCGCAGATGAAGCGGAGTGAGTCCTGGCTTCCGGTCTGACCTTGGCTCACCTCCATCAACGGAGCGGCCGGGTGCCCCCGGGTGGTGAGACCCAGGCAGCAGCCCCATGGGGAAACAGGTGTGAGCCCGGCCATGTCACTGGGGACAATCCCCTCCCCTCTGAGTCGGGGTCTGGCACTTCCCCCCCAGAGTGAGCATCCCACAACCTAGAATGGCCGCCCAGAGCCGTCCGCCACGGAGCAGGTGCTGGGCCCACTTGGGAGGCTCTGCTCACACTGTGGGGTCCTGGGAGAGCCCCCAGGGCACCCGCCTGGGAAAACAGGGCAGCCTCTGCTAGTGGAGACCCCCGCCGGCCCCGAGGCCCCTGCCTGGAGCAGTCTCCCCAGTGACCCCAGCTCCCACGGCCTGCGAGACGGGCCTGTGTCTGCAGGCGGGCTCGCCGAAGTCCATGTGGGGCTCAGGCTCGGCCTGTGGAGCCGCTGAGCTCAAGGCCCCAGCCGGAGCCTTCCAACCGCTGTGACCGGGGCAGGGGCCAGAGGAGGCCACGCCGGCAGCGGCTGTCCTGGGTCAGGCCAGCACAGGGAGCACCCCTCCCTTGGTGGCCACAGGCCTTGGTCATCCACTCTGCAAACAGGGCTGCAGGGCCGAGTGACCGCCCCAGCCAGGCTCTGGGGAGACAGCTGGGAGCCAGGGGCTGGTACTGGGCTCCATGGTGCCACGTGTGGGAGATGGGCACACGCCTATTTCTGTGTGTGGTGGGGGGTCCCAGAGAGGGTATGATGGGGGTGGAGCCAGGGCTGTTTAGGCCAAAGCCTGAAGGATGGGAAGTCCCAGCTCCGAGAAGCACCATCGAGGTGTAAGGACGGGGTGTGGGAGGCCGGCACGAGGGGCATGGCCAGGGCACCCGGAGGGAGAGGTTGGGCCTTCGGCGCCCAGGGCAGAGTTGACATGGCCCGGATTGTTGGCTTCCACCCCAGTCCTGGCCTCCCCGTTAGGCACGAGCCCGTGGTGACGGAGCAGGGCGAGGTCTCAGGGACCTGTGTCCTTAGGAGCCTGGGATGCAGCAAGAGGACACACCTGGTGGTCCGGGTGACAGGTGTGCGCAGGCCGGAAGCCAGTGTCACCTCCCTGGTGTCCGGTGCAGCCCACGGCCCCACCCTGCTTCTTAGAGCAGCGTCTGAGTCTCAGGAGCTGGGACAGCAGAGAGTGTGGTCGTTCAGAAGCGGGGCGGCCACCTTCCTTGGAGGTAGAAGGAGCCGGAAGTGGCCCACGGGGAGCTGGGAGGGCTTGAGGAGGTAGACGGCAGCCCGGGGAGGTCCTGGGCTGGCGCCAGTTCCAGCAGGATTTGCGTTGGTGGTCAGGCGCGGTGGTCCCTGTCCTCCTGTTCCCCCAGGAGCAGTGATGTGCCGGCCCGGCCCGCCCAGCCAAGCCCTGGTTTCCTGGTCTGTGAAGTGGGCACGGGCCTCGGCACCCTGCGGTGGGGAAGGACCAGCGTGGCAGGAAGCTGCGTCCATCACGTCGAGCGCACACGAGGGGCTGACGTCCTTCCCTGCACGGCTGTCCCCCAAGGCTGTGCTGCTCAGCCTTGTGCCTGCCTCGCTCCCGCTTCCTTGTGTGGTGGAACCCACTGCCCCGAGCACAGACGCCACGTCACAGCGGCACTGTGCGGCCTCCTCTCTGAGCCCTGGGCCTGCACAGTTGCTGCCACCTGCTTGGCTGTACCACCACACCTCAGGGACACTACCTGTGTGATGTCTTCCAGCCCTGGTAGCCCAGAGCTTGGCTACATGCCAAGGTCACTTCCCCCTGCCTGCTCAGGACCCAGCACTGCCAGGCCAGGCCCTTGCCCTGCCCCCAGCAGGTTCTCTCTCCCTCAGCCCCAGCACCTCACAGATGTGAGCTCTGGGGCGGCCCTGGCCCTGGGTCTCAGGAGCAGGTCTGCGGTGACGCCGGCCAAGGGTTTGCTGTGTGCCATGCCTTGTTTATGGCCCATCTTGGCGAGCATTGTGTCAAGTGCAGATTCTACCGGCAGCTGTCTGGTTTCAGCACATGGCCGTGCCGCACCCCCGTGTTCCATCGTCGGCAATGCCCATCACTGTGGCGGGCTGTCAGCTGTCAGTCTAGCCTGTGCTCTTGCAAGGTGACCGCTCTCTACCCCTGGTTGCTTGTAAGTTTTTTCTCGATGTCTTTGACCATCTGCAGCTTTATGGCCACGCGTGGGTGAGAGTTCTTGTTTGCTTCACTCGGACTTCGCTGGGGACTCAAGTCTGCATTAGTGATGATTGTTTCTGGGGAATTCTCAGCCACTTCAACGCCCCCCCCATCTTTGGCCCCTCCTTTCCCCCCTCTCGTTTCCTCCTACATCGGTGGCGGATACCTGAGATCTGCCGGCTCCCTCCGTGCTCCCACCTCTGGCCCGTCTGTGCCACATCTGTCAGAGCTCTTGTCAGCACCACTGGAGCCGCCAGCTCCGGGCTGACCCAGGCCTGGCCGGCCGGACTTTAAACAAGGAGCTGCACTGCTGAGCCCGTGCTCCCCTGCTCCCCGCCCACCCCACTCTGCCTGGCTGCCTCGTACCCAGGTTTCTGTAGGACTCAGGGCAGGCCTTGCAGGTGGCAGCGTGGCACCTGGGCCCCTCTGTCCTGTGCCCTGGCTCCTAGGATTTCCCTGGAGTCTGGGCACTTGCCGGTCCCAGCGTGTGACGCAGGCATGGAGGACCGCATTGGAGAGGCTGCATGGGTGAATTACCCGCAGCCCCCGTGTGGGTGTCAGCTGTGCGGCACAGTTGGGCTGAGTGCCCCGGGGGGAGTCATGGGGCTGGTGGCCCTCGTCTGTCACAGCCAGTGACACCTGCAGGATCCGTGTGGGTTCCCTCATGGTGTGCTCTTTCCTGGAGTTCGTGGTGTCTGAGCCACTCACTGGCTTTGAAGGATTTTTTTTTTTTTTTAAGATTTTGTTTGAGAAGCAAGTTACAGATAGAGGGAGAAACACAGAGAGAGAGAGAGAGAGGTCTTCCATCTGTTGTTTCACTCCCCAAATGGCCACAAGGGCTGGAGCTTGACTGATGATCCGAAACCAGGCCCCAGGAGCTTCCTCCAGGTCTCCACGTGGGTGCAGGGGCCCAGGTGCAGTGAACCAGTGCCTGTATGGGGTGCTGGCACTATGCCACAGTGCCAGCCCCTGGAGGAATTCTGGGCATCATCCTTGTGAGTGGAACTGGGGGAGCTAGGTGGGCACTACTAGGTGGAGGCCCCTTCCAACTAGGTCTCGCACCTGTGCCTCACTGGCTCAGCCTGTGCCACAGCTCCCCATGGTTTGGGTCATCTCTGAGGACAGCCCTGCGGGGTCCCAGCTAAGCTGGGGAGGCTCTCCTCTAAAGCTCCCCACTTCGGCCCTGACTTCTGTCCCCGTGACCCCCACCAGGCGCCGGAACAGAAGCCCACATGGGCTTATATAGGCAAGTGCTCTCTGGCCTGAAGGGTGCTAGCCAGTCAGAACAGACATTGGCCGGCGTGGCCAATCAGGGAGCAGCAGCACCGTTGCTAGGCGGATTTTCCCCTCCGTGGAAGAAGATGGTTGGACACCTGCTGCCCCAGCCCAGGAAGCCATGTTTGCAGCCGGGCCGTGGTGAGAGAGGCGCACTGGGGGGGGGGGGGGGGGGCAGTGCCGTCAGGCCGACGTGGCTGTGTGCACACCTCCTGTGTCCTGTCGGGCCGAGTGTGGACACCCGCTCCTTGGCACTGAGGCTGTGCGGCTCGGTCCCACGGGCCCATTTCAGAGGTGGAGGAACCGGGAAAGGAAGGCCGTGGGGGCTTGAGTGTCTGCTTTCGCAACTCCTGCCATGAACGCAGAATGGGGGTTGCCTTCCACGAGCCCCGGCCACTTGTGGTCAGGCAGGCCCCAGCTTGGGCTCCGGCCTCTCCGAGCACTCAGCACGTGCCGGCCAGGGCCCTGGAAGGGGTGTGTTGGTCAGCAGTGCTGGGTGACAGCCCCAGGCAGGCGCCCAGGGGAGCTGGTGCTGGGGTGGTGGGGGGCGGCCAGTCCAGGATGGCCTCAGGACACCCGCGCTCCGGCTGCTGTCACACCCTCTGGCTTGTTCTTGGCTAGAGCAGAAGGTGGGCGGGAGCAGGCAGAGGCCTCGGCTCAGAACTGGCACTCCTCCATCATCCTTTATGGCAGTTTGGTCAGCAAGTGGCGCAGAATTGCCAACACACACACACACACACCTGCCCGCCCTGGCAATCCCTGTGCCACAGGCCAGGGGAGCCCAGCAGGCTTACTGGGGGTGGCAGCCTCTGGGGAGGGGGGCGGTGGGGCGGTGGGGATGAGAGCTCAGCTTCAGAACCTGACCAGGGGCCCCTGGGAGCCCATGTCCTAGGCGGCATCGCAGCCCCAGCTGTCTGTCAGTGGAGTGGCTCTCCCAGCAGGTTTGTTGACTGACCGGATGACCTAAGGCAGCACCTGTACTGGGCCATGCAGAGGGGAGGGTCTCCCTTGTGGGAGCCCAGCCCATGCTGGGAGCTGTAGGCACAGGGACCTCCCGTCTCTCCCTCCCTGGGAGCCCTCCTCCCAGCCCCTGTCAGAGCCAAGATGTGTCGCCATGGAAACCGCCTGGCAACGCTGGCGGGCAGAGGCAGGCGGCGGCAGCTCGGGCGAGCCGGCTCCTGCGCCCGTCGGAGTGACGTGGCAGGAGCACGCCTGGTTGTGTGTGGCACGTGCGTGGGGAGTGAGGGCTGGTGTGTGCGGGTGGGTACCAGCGTGTGGGGGGGTGCTGGGCGTGTGCAGAGAGGAGCCGACCTGACAGGAAGTGGCCGCTGCCCCCAGCGTGCAGGCCGGAGAGACTCCTGACCAGGTAACCCCAGGTGTTGATGCTTGTGCGTGCCGGGAGGCCCCGGGAGGCAGGGAGGCAGGTGCGGGGCTGGGGTGGACAGAGCCCGCAGCCGTGAGGGGTGGTGGGCGAGGTGGCCCGGCCTCCTGGTCTCTGGGGAGAAGTTCGGGCTTTCTCCCAACAGCAAGGGGCGGGGGTCTTGGAGAGGCAGGTGGGGGCTGGAACCGTCACCAGGCTGGCCTGGGGCTGGGGGCTGCCACGCATCGGGGGCGGCAGTGGCACGTGGTGAGGAGGAGGAGGGCGGCGATGTGGGTCCCCTGCAGGCAGCCGATACCCAGGCTCTGCTCCCCCGGGACTGCTGGGGTCTCCAGGCCCTGGAGCTCCCTCGGCCCTTCCAGGCCAGGCAGGGTGTGCAGCCCCCTCGACTGGCTCTTCTGGAAGACCCCAGCCCCTGCAGGATTTCCCAGGCCCCTCCTGGAGCCTGGCTGCTCTCAGCTGCCTGGGGGCTGGGGCTGCTGGCTGCGGGGCAGGTGGTCCTGCCTGGGGCGTGAGCCCTGCCCAGCTCTGGGGACAGCTCAGGGCATGGCCATCACTTCACCTGACCCGGGTCCTCTGGGTCCCCCACCCCACTGCACACTGCCTGCACACCGGCTGGACGGTCGGTTCGGGGTCCCTTCGGCAGGGCCCCATGTGGCCAGGGCCGTCCTCTCTGAGCCTTCCCTGCTGGCTGAGCCCAGGATCAGGTGCAGTGCACGGTCTGGGGCAGTGGCCTCAAGCCGAGTCCCCACACGACGGCCTCCAGACCCGCGTGCATCCGGGGTGAGCAGGTTGGCCCTGAGCTGAGCAGCAGTGGCCACAGTCTGCTAACTGCCTCTCAGTGTCGGGGAATGGGCCTGGGGGGCTGCTGTCCGTCTGGGGGCACCCGCGGTCACGGCTGGGCAGGACAGTGCTCGGTCTGCCAGGGTGGGTCTGGCCCAGCCAAGGGCCCACGGGCCACGCCCCGTTGTTCTCGTTCTGTGTGGGCAGCACGCGGGGCTGTCCCTGGGCTGCTGACCCAGAAGCTACGGGGGAGGGGCAGGGGCTGGGACAGAGAGAACCCTGGGAGAGAGAATGAGAGCATAGCAGAGAGAGACAGACGGCCCCTGCGGGATGCCTGGGCCCCGCCCCGCTCCCTCAGCCTCACCCTGGGGTGCAGCCAGGAGGGGCCCCCAGCCCCAGCCGCCCGGCCGTTCCCCGGCGGAACAAGGGCTTTCAGTGCCGGGGACCCCGACTGAATACTAAATCCGGCGGCTCAAAGGCGGCCTCACAGGCGGGCGCGGGTGGCTGGGCGCTGGGCGCTGGGCGCCGGCCAGGCAGCTGCCCCCACCCCCACCCCCGCATCGCAGCCGCTGCTCCTCGTACCCAGGAGCCGCTGTCCCCAGGGTCAGGAGGGGCTGTAGCTCCCCGGGCGGGCGCCCCGACACCCGGCACAGGCCGGTAACAGGTGGGCCTCAGCAGGTGGTCCCTTGGAAAATGGCTCCCACCGGGCATCCCTCTGCCTTCCAGGGGCAGCTGCTGGGCTGGGGGGCGGGGGGAGGCCTTGGCCCTGCCCCTACTGCTGCCCCATGGCCTCAGCCGAGCAGCCTGCCAGGCCATCCCGGGCCCCTCGAGTCCCTGGTGCTCAGCACCCTGCACCCCTCACAGCAGAGCCCCACCCAGTTCTGACTCCAGGGCCCCCTCGGGCAGAGCCCCATCTCTGCGCCTCGCCCCAGCTGGCCCCGCCTGGCCCGTGTTCTGAGGGTCCCGTGTGCCAAGCACACCTGTGGCTTCCACGCTTCTCTCCTGGGCCGTGTCCGACTTCCCCGTGCCTGCCTGAGCCAGTGGCCACGGAAGGGCTGGCTTCAAACAACACGGCCTCACACAAGTCTGAAATCAAGGTGTAGGCAGAGCCTGCTCCCCAAAAGGGCTCTTGGGGAGGGTCCTTCTCCGCCCACCCGGCCTCACCCCTGCGCCTCCGCCCGGCCCACCCCTCATCTCACGCTGCTCACGGCATCTCTCTCAAGGCTTGCTCCAGATACCAGCACGCACTCAGACTTGCGTAGGAAATGGAGTTCAGAGACACACACAGTCGGAGAACGGGCCCCGTGACCAAACACCCCCACCGGCAGCCAGGTGGGCAGAGGGCGCGGCCCCTGCCCGGGAGCCTGCGTCCCTGAAGGCCGGGAGGGCGGGGTCCCCACACCACGGCCGTTTCTAGACAGGTCCTGACCCGGTGCCTTCCAGGGAGGCCCGCAGTCCAGCGGGGGTGGAGTTTGGCTGCGTGTGCCCGGGGGGACCTGGCTGGCGTCCCTGCTGCCCTTCTGTGTCCAGGTCCCCACGTCCATGGGCAGCCAGGTGAGGACGGGTCTCCGGCCCTGCCTATACTCATCCCGATTCCACCGCCTCCCACGGCTCAGGGCCTTCGCCCATCTTTCTTGGGTTCCGAGTTCTCCATCCTTGGCAGGAGCAAACTGGAACCCCCACCCCCACCCCCACCCCGAGCTGCCGTGAGCCGGAATCCGCGTGTGGGGATTCACCCCCAAGGGCGGGAGGCAGACCCGAGCAAAAGCAAAATCTATCACAGATTCCGTAAGTGACAGCCAGAGCCTGGGGAAGCCCAGAACGTCCCCCACCGGCCGCAAGGCACAGCCCAGGGCCGAGCAGCAGGTGTGGAGGAAGAAGCCCCAGACAGACGGACAGGGGGCGGGGAGTGGAGGGAGGGCGGCCTCCCTCATGGTGGGATGACGAGGCTGCTCTTCCTCACTCAGAATTGCTCAGTTTCCTGCCACCCACCTCTCGCTGCAGCCTCGCTTCCTGGGACGGCTCCCTCAGCCGGAGCCGGGGCCGGGGCTGGGGCCACCCGGTCACAGAGAGAGGGCCGCTCCAGGGAAGGGCTCGGCTCTCCACAGCCAGCCAGGGCACAGGGCACAGGGCGCCCTAGTCTGGCTCTGGGCATGGACTGGAGGCTGGGGTCTGGGGCTGCCCCAGATGGGGCCCTGGTGTGTGTGCTGGGGGTGGGCAGCAGAGTGGGATGTCCCCCCCCTCCGTCAGGAGCTGAAACCCAGGCCAGAGGAGGGGCAGTGTCCCCTGGCAGGTGGACCCCAGCCCAGCCAGAGGGGCAGAGAAGTGGGCGGGTACGCTCAGGTCTGACACTGAGGTGAGCAGGGCACGGGGCCGGCACTGCATGGCGCAGCGGGGCTAACTGCCCTCCCCCAAATAGCATCGCCCAGGGGACTCCATTCCACTGTGTGTTCCCTGGGGCCTGGCCCTCTGTGCGTCACCAGGCTCACTGCTGGGCAGGGGCTGGGCCCACGCCCGGGCCCACGCCCGTGTTCTGTGAGCCTTCCCAATGGGGCTGGTGCCTGTGTTCCTTTTGGCTCTCCGAGCTGGGCTCACCCCAACCGGCCTCTGGCTCTGCCCTGTGGGGGCTGCTCCAGGGGCCCCACTTGCGCTGTGCAGGGATGTGGGAGGGGTCGCTGCAGGGCCGGACAGTGTGAGTCCGAGGGGAAGTGCTGAGGGGTGTGGGGGCCGCAGGAGCCTCTGCCCCAGGCCTGGCCCCCTAGCGTCTACCTGGCTCACTGCCCAGGACAGACGCTGGGCTGAGGCTGCGGGACCAGGTGTGGCCTGGGCCCTGGGCTCTGAGCACAGCACAGGGGCTGCTCTGTCCAGCGCCGGCTCCGGCATCTGGGCCGCCGAGCCCTGCCCACACCTCGGCTTTTCATCCATGGCTGGGCATAGCTGGGGGCAGAGAGCCACCGACAGCATCCTCAGCCCGGGCCTGGGGTGGTGGCAGACCTCTGCGCTGTGACAGGGGAGAGGGGGTGACCCGGAGGAGCCGGGCGGGGAGACAGCTAGGCTGCGGGTCCCCAGTTGGGTGCGCAGCCCTGCCCTGCCTGCCTGGAGTCCCTGCTCCCGCCCGGGGAACTCACCTGGGGGGCGCCGGCTCACTTCTCCCACCTGCTCGGCGTTAAAATCCCAGCCCCCGCCCACCCTCGCGTTTCTGGGAGCCGCAGGCACCTCCCGAGCGAGCTCTGCGCGCGGCGGCGGCGGCGGCGGCGGCGGCGAGGGGGCGCGGGGTAGGGCTCCGGGCTCGCGGCCGGACGCTGTCCCCCAACGCTGTCGCCCCTGGCCCTTGCTGACGTCACGCCAGGACCTCTCCGGCCGTCGTGGCCTCGCCTAGTGCCCCAGGCGGTCCCTGCCGGCTCTGGAGTGCGGGCAGCGAGGTAGGGCGCGCGCGGGGCGGACCGGGACGCAGGCACGCGGAGGGCGCGCGGGGCAGCGCCGCTCCCGGCGGGGTCCCGTGCGCGTGGGCGGTGGGAGAGTCCCGGAGGGGCGTTTTCTGATGGGGGGGGTGCAGCGCGTGCCGGGGGCGTCCACGGCGCGCGGAAAACCGCACCTCCCCAACCCCCAGCCCGTGCGCACCGGGGCCGGGGCTTGGGGAGCCCCCTGGAGGGGTGCGGGTCCTCTCCCGCCCCGCGGAGCGACAGGCAGCCGGGGTCTGCGCGGAGGCCCGCGCGCCTCGGGTCTGAGCCTCGACTTCCCCGCCTGCGGAGCCGCCGGGCTGGGCCGAGTCGGTGCGGCTGCGGGGCCCGCTGGGGAGGCGCGTTCGCAGTCGGAGCGATCCGGGTCGGGCTCTCGGGCCGGGGGCCGCCGGGCTCGGGCAGCCGGCCTCGGTCACCTGGCTGGGAGCTCGGACCCTCCCCGCCCCGGGCGGAGCCGAGGGAGGACCCAGCTTTCCCGGTGTCCCGCGGGCGTCAGTGGTGCAGGCCGATGTCAGGGCGCCACGGAGGACCCCGGTGCTCACCTGGGAGGCAGGTGGCCAGGAGGCGCCCACGCTAGCGCCTGCCCCGGCAGAGGTGTGGTCTTGGGCACGCACAGGTCCCTGTGACTGAAGGACTCTGGCAGTGGCTGAGGGCGGGACAGACGTGGCTTCCTGAACTGCAGAGAGGGGCGGGGGCCGTCAGACCCCCTCCAACCGTGCGGGACCTCGCTCTCCCGTCCTGTAG